TGTGGAGTCCATTCTGACCCACAGCGCCCCTAGAGGACAGAGTGGAACTGCCCCACAGGGTCTCCAAGGCTGTCAATCTTCACAGAAGCTGACTGCTCCATCTTTCTTCCTCAGAGCGGCTGGTGGGCTAGGACCCCAGATCTCTCAGTTAGCAGCCAAATGCCGTAACCACTCTGCCACCAGAGCCCCTTGCATGGACCATAGTTGGTTGATACTCTTTGGGCTCTAGTTTTGTTTTTGTTGCCAGCCTTTATGTCCCTCATCATTTTGCAATACTAGCTGTGCTCTGATAGCATAGTGCCTAAGGCACTTGACTGCTAACCAGAAAGCTGGAGGTTCAAACCCATCAGCCACTCCTCAGAAGGAAGATGGGGCAATCTACTTCTGTAGTAATACTGCCTTGGAAACCCAAGGAGGGGTCGCTACGAGTCGGGTCCGACTCAACAGTACGTAACAACAAGAACAAGCTGTAAGCATAAAGGATGAAGTCATACAAGGAGAGAATGAGAAGGCGCGGTTCCTGCCTTCAGGAAGTTTATGCTGGGGGGTTGGGGGGTCACAGGAGACAGAGGACAACATCCTAACACAGCCCTGACACGCTCAGTTAAGCTGCACACTCTGCTGACTAGAGGTGTTTACAACTTTGTCGTGCACAGGAAAGGGCACTGCTCTGTGAACACACTCCTCCTATACTTCCTTGAAGGCAGCCCCTGGGCAGCCAGTGCGCTGGGGCCGGGCGGCCAGTATGCTTGTGCCAGGGCCAGGCAGCCAGTGTGCCGGGGCCAGGCAGCCGGTGTGCTTATGCCAGGGCTGGGCAGCCGGTGTGCCAGGGCCGGGCGGCCGGTGTGCCAGGCAGCCAGTGGTGAGCAAAGCAGGCCTTCAGGAACTCTGGATTCATGATGGACATGCTACTGAAGTGTTAAAGAAAAGTGCTGTGTATACATAACTCATTGTTTCAAAAGTGTATGTGGGGTCCAGTACTGCGTTGTCAGAAGGCAAACATGGATGTATGGGTGGATAGATGGGTGGGCAGGCTGAACTATTAGGTATGTCCATGCAACAGGGAGTGTACCCAAGACCATGTATAGGGTTGGCAGACAATAGTTCTACAAGTGTATTGGTATGTTCTGTAAGAATTCTCAGGGGTATAGTAGAGCTGACAAGGAACAAGGTCACTTCTTGGTCACAGCCAGCTAGCCAGAGGGACTGAGTAGTTGAACCTGTGGGCTCAGGACCATAGTCGCAGGGGACATCAAGCTCAAATGGCATAACACACTACACAAAACATGGTTCCACCTCCTACTTTGGTGAGTAGCAACTGGGATCTTAAAGCTTGCAAACCGCCATCTAGATGCAACAATGGGTCTCTCCTCGTCCAGAGCAAAGAAAAATGAAGAAAACAAAAGACACATGGAAACAATTACTCCTAGCAACTGGCACACCATGAGATCCTCAGCCTATATGACTATGACACCAGAAGATCTGGATGGTGCCTGGCTATCACTGTCACTCACTTGGAGGGGGATCTGTGTAGGAGATCCTGGATAGAGAGGGAGAACAATGTAGGACAAAACTCAAAATCATTTGGAAATTAAAAAAGGGGGGGGGGACCACGTTTGCTGGTCTCACAGAGCCTGGTGGAACCACTGAGACTATGGCTCCTAGCTGCCCTTCAGGTCTGGAATTGAACCCACTCCTGTGGCTTCTAGCCAAACAAAAGACAGGCACATGAGCTGAACATTTACACGAGGTAGATACACTCCTTGGAGAGAACAATCATGGGAGAAAGAAGGGCTGTGTATGCACAGGGAGACAGCACAGGGGGCAGGAGTGTATGGAGGGAAGGACACAGGGAAGAGGTATCTATCGGGAGGAAGTGGGAGAGGAGCCGTTGCATTGGGGTAAATTGTAGTCAATGTCAGGAGACAAAGTGTATGTGAACTGCTGCATGGAAAGTGAATTCGCTCTGTAAACTTTCCCCCAAATCACACACACACACACACACACACACACAGAATGACTGACACTGCTAGTTGCCCACCGTCAGTATCATCACACCTGTACCTTCCTTTGTATTAACATCCTGATGTTAATACAGTCCACCCACTTCCACGTGCCTCAAGGAAGATGATTCTCTGTCTAGCCCCAGCTAAGCCCCAGGGAGAGATTAAGTTTACTATTCAATCAGAGTAATCACATAACTTTTATAAATGAAAAAAGAAAATAAAGTTCTTTACTGCTGAGCCCAAAAACAAAACCAAAAAACTCTATGGGGGGTACTTTAGGGCACCATCAACAGCCATGTAGAAAGAACACACGTATCCTGACCCAAACAAGAAATGGGATCAAAACGGGCTCTGTGGCCGACGGGAAAGCAGGCGCCCCTTATCACCCAGTCAAGGGCTGCCTCACTGGGAGCCACTCTGGACCAGAAAAGCACGGTGAGGGTTCCCGGAGAATCCTGGAATACAGCCTGCTGAACACCGTCCTGGAAACAGCTGCTCCGTGACCGGGAACAGGGGGCTGAAACCTCGCTCCACTGCGCAGGGACAACTTTCTAAGACTGACCCAGGCACCAACAGCTCAAGGCGTGTCCTGGAGGGGTCATGTCTCAGGACGTGGGAACCCTTCAACATACTTCTTCCATTAGCATGGCCACATGTCAGGAAATCAAAGCGCATACACTTAGAACTAACGGAAGCCTTTCCAGCCAAGAGGTGCACTGAAATAGCATTGACTGAGGAGCTCTGGTGGTGCAGTGGTTAAAACACTCAGCTGCTAACCAAAAGGTCAGAGGTTTGAACCCACCAGCTGCTCTGTAGGAGAAAGATGAGGCAGTTTGCTTCCAGGAAGACTGACAGCCTTGGAAACCCTATGGGGCAGTTCCACTCTGTCCTCTAGGGGCGCTGTGAGCAGGAATCCGCTCCACGGCAGTGGGCGTGGTTTGGGCTTTGCTCCATGAAGACTGACAGCCTTGGAGACCCTGTGGGGCAGTTCCACTCTGTCCTCTAGGGGCGCTGTGGGTCAGAATGGACTCCAGGCAGTGGGTGTGGTTTGGACTTTGTTTCCATGAAGAATGACAGCCTGGGAGATCTTGTGGGGCAGTTCCACTCTGTCCTCTAGGGCCCTGTGAGTGGGAATACACTCCACGGCAGTGGGTGTGATTTGAGCTTTGCTTCCGTGAAGATTAACAGCCTTGGAGACTCCTTAGGGCCATTCCACCCTGTCCTCTAGGGGCGCTGTGGGTTGGAATCGACTCAATAGCAACAGCTACCTGTTTACTTATGTCAGAACCCAAAGCAAAACACCACATTCATGCCCACTATCAGTGAGACTGCTGCACTGAAGCAATGTGCCTTGTGCTCAAGTGGCAGCCTCAGATCCTGCTTTGGTCTGAAGGTGACAAATTCGAGGGCTGCTTACGCGTTCAAAGAAGTTGTTACATACCGCACAGTGCAGGCACAGGGAAAAATGCAAAGATAGATGAGTAAACATCAGAGGGCCAGACAAAGAACAGACATCTGTGCTGAACAACACGAATGTCCCTCTTGTCCCGGAAACGGCTGTGGAACAGTGAGGAGGAGTCAAGTCCACGGACATGGTGAGAAGCTGCAGCACAGTGGCCCCTGGGGCCAGGGGCTCACCGCCCTGAGGTCGTGTTGGGAGGAGGAAGCAAGGCTGGGAGCTCAGAGCACCCCCGTGGGGGCAGGAGGAGCTGGCTCCTCCACGGCCTCGTCCGGGCAACCCAGGACCTAACTGCTTGGGCAGGCGCGGACACGGCGAGCCCCTCGGCCCTGCGCTCCGGCTGTGCTCCCAGGGGCGCTGCTCAGGGGACCGCTCTCCCAAGGGGCGGGTCCCTTTAGAGGAGGGCTTGAGGCCAAGAGCTGGGCTTGGAGGGCCCAAATGGCCTAATTTGACCTCAGAACTATACGTGAACACATCACCTTTCTGACACCAAGCTGATCCTTCACAATTCTTATTATTTCTTGGTCCAAGCAGCCTCTGACATTGGTGAGAGAACAAACCGTAGGCTTACGTTTCCAGTGCTGCTCCCCCAGGGCCACAGAGCTGCCTGCGATTCGTGGTGACCCCACACGTGTCAGGGAACTGTGCTCCACAGCTAGCTTCCCAGGTCTTTCTCAAAGACCCTCGGGCTGGACGCGAACCCACAACCTTCTGCTTAGCAGCTGAGTACGTGAACTGCTTATCACCTAGGGCCCTGTCATCAGTTTCTAATATGGTGTCATGCCGGCAGCCTCCCAGAGTCAATGTTGAGATCCGCCCGTCACACCTATTTCACTGTTACCGAAAGGAATCACCTTTCCTTTTGAAAAACCTGAATCCAACCCTCTCATCTTCATTCCACAACCTCATGCTGATTTTGTACCTTCCACCTAATGAGCTCTGGTGGCGCAATGCCTAAGGCATCTGACTGCTAACCAGAAGGCTGGCCATTCAAACCCAGCAGCCACTCCGCGAAGGCAGACTGGGCAATCTACTTGCAGGGTAGTGGACTGCTGCCCACGGCCCCCCAGCCACCGTTCTCCGCTCTGTGAGGCGTGTGAATCCTGGGCTCTATGCCTGTTGATGCCTGTTCAGGGTGGATGCATCCTGAGTGCTGCCGTCATCCGACCCACCGACTTGGGTTCACCAACCCCGGCAACCACGTGAGTAGGGAGACTCCTCTAGACCTGCTCCCAGACCTGGGATTTGCCTGCCTCCCAGCCTCCACCACTGCACGAGCCGTTTCCTTGGCAGTGTGTGAGTTCTGTGAGATGTGACAGTGAACTGTGGAACCCTAAGACAAGAGGGAGAGTGTGAGGGGAGCAGGAGCAGTCAGAGAAGATGGAAAGGCACAGCGGTTTGGACAAGTCGGACATTTGGAACACCTTTAACCTCCGCCTCATGGGGACTGGCCTGACGCTGATCTTTTTTTTTTTTAAAAAAAAAAACAACAACATTTTATTGAAATATAAGTCATGTACAGTGAAATACCCTTGTGCTGATCTTTCTAAGAGAAATTTTTCAAGCAGTAATTTCTGTAAAGATTTACCACCTTGGAAACCCAATGGGGTTGCAATGAGTCAGAACTGAGTTTGGTTTATACCTTCCCACCACATCCGAGTCAAATTCTACAATTTGAATCATAAAAAAAAAAAGACCTGGTTTGCTAGTCTGATAGAGCCTTGTGAGAACCCCAAGACCATGGCCCCCCTAGTTACCTTTCAGGTCTGGAACTGAACTCACTCCTGTGGCTTCCAGCCCAACAACAGACAGGCATAAGGGGTGAACATTTACATCAGGCAGACACTGCCAGGAGCAATCAATCATGGGTGAACAGAAGGGCAGTGTTTGCACAGGGAGACAGCTCAGGGGACAGGAGTGCATGGGAGGGAAGGACACAGGGAAGAAGTAACTATGGGCAAGAAGTGGGAAGAGAGCTATTACATCATGGGGATTGCAGTCAATGTCATGAGACAAAATGTGTATGAACTGCCATATGGAAAGTGAATTTCCCCTGTCAACTTTCACCCAAATCACAATAAAAATTAATTTAAAAAAAAATTCTAGTTTGACTGGTAAGAGGTTCCCTCACCTAGCCACACCCTACCTGTTCAATCTTTTCTTCTCCTGCTCCCTGAAACTGCAGGTACACGTTCCTGAGCCACTCTCTTAACCAGCAGCTCCATCTGCCTCGCCCCCGCCCCCCCCACCCCAACCCCGGTGTTCATCCCTTTAATAATTTGACTTATTAAAAATGTCTGCCATTCCTGTCTCCCAATCCACAATCCTCAAACCAAACCACACCCACTGCCATGGAGTCCATTCCACCCACAGTGCCCCTAGGGACAGAGTGGAACTGCCCCACAGGGTCTCCAAGGCTGTCAATCTTCATGGAAGCAGAATTTCTTCCATAGAGTAGCTGGTGGGTTCGAACTGCAGACCTGTTGGTTAGCAGCTGAATACCTGAACCACCGCAGCACTAGTGCTCCTTACAACCCTCAAAGCCCCACTCGAATCCCACCCCTTCCTTCTAGGAAGGCTTCCCTAACCACTGCCCCCCATATCCAGTGTTCACATTTCCTAACTTACTTTTTTTTACTCAACTGTCCACTAAAGGCGCTCTGCTGGCATAGTCAGTTAGGCATTTGGCTGCTAACCAGAAGGTTAGCAGTTCAAACCCACCAGCCGCTCAGCAGAAGGAAGATGAGGTGATTTATTTCCATAAAGCCTTGGAAACCCAACAGGGGTCACGATGAGTTGGCATCAACTCGATGGCAGTGGGCTTGGCTTTTCTGGCTTTTGTCGTCTAATTAAAGCAGTAAATCAGCACAGCTGCCTGGGAAAGGGAGCTCCCCCCCTCACATCGGGAGCATCTCCTACAACACCTTCCCTGACTTGGAACAGAGAAGGGGCCGAGTAAACACACGACAACACACGAAGGAAGAATGACCCCGTGCTCGGAAGCTGGCCCCTCACTCCCCACAGGCCAGGAGGGTGCCTGCAGCATGGACGGATGGCAGCAGCTCTACCTTATCCGGCTCCGGGTGGTGGGGGTCACAGAGGCCGTGGGAGAGGAGGAGAGGGAGAGCTGCGGCGACGTGGTTCCAATGGCCATGAGAGAGGCCGGCGACGCGCCCTCTGGTGCAGGGATGTCCCGCTTCATCTCCTCACTGCTTCGCCGAGACACTGCGGTGAGACGTGGGGATTACGCAGCAGTCAGGGCCGTGAGGGGTGATTTCTACATCACTGGGGAGACCCAACAGGGCAGCCTCAGAGTGAAGAGGAGCCAGCTCAGGAAACGAAAGCAGCCAGCAAAGTGAAACAGGAAGAGAACACAGGCGGTCCCGCCACCAGGGCTTTGGGAAGGTCCTTCCAGCACGTCTCAGCAGGCAGGGCCGTTACCTGAGATGGTCTTAGCGCTCTCCATGGCGGGCACTCTTGGCAGAGAAGCAGGTCTGCTGGTTGATGACGTCCTTAACAGGTGCTCTGCAAAGTGGGGAAGGGCATGGTAAGGAAAGGGGTGCTGGACTTAGCAGTGACAGAGGGAGAAGGAGGTGAGGGTCATCCTCCACCTTCAGGAACACCCTTCTTCACCACCCAGAGAACCCACTCATCCAAACAATCCTCCGTCAACCAAACCACACCCACTGCCGTGGAGTCGATTCCGACTCACAGCGCCCCTAGAGGGCAGAGTGGAACTGCCCACAGGGTCTCCAAGGCTGTCAATCTTCACAGAAGCAAAGCCCAAACCACACCCACTGCCGTGGAGTCGATTCCGACTCACAGCGCCCCTAGAGGGCAGAGTGGAACTGCCCACAGGGTTTCCTACGCTGTCAGTGTTTATGGGAGCAAAGCTCAAATCAAACCCTCAGAGGGTCTCTGAGGCTGTCAATCCTTTAGGGAAGAAGAGCAGTTGGTGGGTTCAAGCTGCCAACTTTTTGGTCAGCAGCTGAGCGCTTTAACCACTTGTGGTGCAGTGAGTTCCTTGGGTCTGGCTCTTCCAGCCGTGGTCTTTGTGACCCCCGCACCAGATGACTGTGTGGGACTATACAGATGTGAGGTACATGTGGCCCACCGAGAGGACTGGACAGCTCATTAATAAAGAAAACGAGGTACCTGGCACCCCTGTGGGGGTGGGACCGTGGCAGTAAGGTGCATGGAACCCTAGCGTGGGGATCTGCCCGCTGGCCACCCTGCCAGGCTTAGAATGAGCTCTCCCAGAGGCAGAAGGGAAGAGCTCACTACCGCCAAGAAACGAGAGCCAGGAGTGTCCTTGGACCTGAGATCCCTGCGCTGGACTTTCTGGGCAGAGAGACAGTAACAACAGCAGCAGCAGAACCAAGAGACCAGCACAAGACAGAGAGGTTCCTGGCCCAAGGAGCAAGAAAGCTGAGTGCCTTTGGGCAGGAGGCTTGCTGGGGGCGTGGAGTGCCTCTCTGGGCACCTACATGGCACAACCAAGAGAACTTTGTGACACTGGCCCGAACAGGGCAGAGGCCGAGGCCAGAGAGGAACATGCCTGCTGGCAGGGCTAAGAGGCTGTCCTGAAGGAAGGACTGTATCCTGAGAGTTCCTGAACCTGAGTTGTAGCCTGTACTTCCCTAATAAGCCCATCATTGTGAGTACTGTCTGTGAGTTCTGTGTGGCTACTACAGCAAATCACTGAACCCAGCAGAGATGCCATGGGAGGGACGGCTGTTGTCAGGGCTGGTAAGGAGGCTGGAGGGTGGTGGGCTGCCCTCTGACCCAAAGAACCAGCCTCGGGCTGCGGACGGTGATTTTCTCTCTCCCTGGTGAAGTTAGAGGAGGTCGGAGGATGCTGCCCGCAGGCCCTCTGGGCTCCACTGCACCACCAGAGCGCTGTATGATTCCCCCCAGAGTCTACTTATCACCACAACTTCCAAGACAAGGAACCCAGTACAACGTTTCCTAAGTCTCATCTAGGGATGGGGCGCTCCACACAGAGGAAGGCTGCTACATCACTCAGGGCCACTCGCTTCTTCAATGAAACTCTATAAGATGAAAGACAGTGTCCTACATCACCTGGCCCCTCAGTTACCAACTGCATAAGGCCTCGCCCTGACAGGCCTGCTGGTCATGAGAAGACACATACACCTCCAGGTAGATGTGTCAGGAAGGATAAAGGGGGACAGGACCCGGGAGAGAGATGGCGCTCACTTTGGGCAGCAGGGCAGCCTTTGAAACATGACGCCATCGAGCAGGCCTTCCCGGGGAGAAGAGGGTGGGGACAGAGCCGCAGCCAGACAACAAGGAGACCAAAAGCACAAGGACAGAGGAGGGAGAGAATTACAAGATAGGCCAGTGAGGCTAAGACCCAGGCCCCATGACAACCACGAGGATGGCAGAAAAGGGACTGTTGGGAGGGAGAGGCTGACGGACCACAGCCGCAACAGCTATGCGCGGGCTTCAGTCTGAGGGAACTGAGGGAGGAGAGGCCGATGGACCACAGCCCCGAGAGCTGTGTGCGGGCTTCAGTCTGAGGGAACTGAGGAGGAGAGGTTAACAGACCACAGCCCCGAGAGCTGTGTGTGGGCTTCAGTCTGAGGGAACAAGGAGGCATCACACCTTTCCGACACTGAGGGAGAAGACAAACTCAAGAGGTGCCAGCTCTGCCTTCTGTGTGCTCAGCCCCCTAGCCCACTCCCCTCTTGCTCTCTGAACGCACACTGTCTGAGCATGGACATGCTGTGCCAGGTCCCTTCTCTGCCACCCCTTCCTGGGCTGGCTGACTCGATCACGCCCAGGTCAGCCTGAACATCAGTCCTTCAGGACCTACACGCCTTCCCAAAGAGACCAGGGGGTGTGCTGTGGCTTCCCTTCCTGCCCACGTTTAACCCAGGGCCACACGCCTGATGAGAGGCTGTCTTCAGGCCAGGACACATAGAGACAAGCACAGAATTACACTTCCACATATAGAAAATGAAAATCCTCACAGCGGGACCAATCAGCAGATCATGACGAGAGAAGACTGAAGTTGTCAGAGATTTCACGTTAGTTGGATCCACAATCAACACCCATGGAAGCAGCAGTCAAGAAATTAGACAACGTATTACGCTGGGCAAATCTGCTGCAAAAGACCTCTCTAAAGTGCTGAAGAGCAAAGATGTCACTTTGAAGACTAAGGTGTGCCTGACCCAAGGCACAGTGTTTTCAATCGTCTCATATGCATGTGAGAGCTGGACAATGAAAACGCAAGAGTGAAGAAGACTTGCTGTTTTTGAGTTGCTGTGTTGGTGAAGAAAACAGAAGTACCATGGACATCCAAAAGAACAAACAAATCTGTGCTGGATGAAGCACTGCCAGAATGCTCCTTGGAAGCAAGAATGGCCAAACCTCGACTCACCTACTTTGGTCATGTTGTCAGAAGGGACCACTCCCTGAAGAAGGATATCATGCTTGGTAGGGCAGAGGGTTGACTAAAGAGGGGAAGGCCCTCAACGAGATGGAGAGACACAGTGGCTGCAACAATGGGCTCAAGTATAGCAAGGACTGTGAGGCTGGCACGTGACCGGGCAGTGTTTCCTTCTGTTTAAAACAGGGACACTATGAGTTGAAGCCAACTCAACAGTATCTAAGAATATCATCCAGGCAAATGAGAGCCTGCAAGTATTCCCGACCGAGTGTCCTGTGTGTGCCGTGAGAAATCCAGGATGGTGATGCATGACTCTAACATGCTGATCTCAGAAATCCCAGACATTAACAGGTACAGGGGGTTGTCCCTTTATTGCTTCTTACAGTCCAATGGGCTTCTCTTTATACATGGCCTGGCCAGCCCTGGGTTTGTGGCTCTGCCAAAAATAATTGGTTGGACCACAGCCTGCCCTGTGACTGGTCTATTTTATGTAACTTACAGGGACTGGACAATTTACTATGCAAATAAAGTATGTAAAACTCTTGCAGGGATTGGTCAGTTAGTACACAAACAAGATGACTATGGTCTGCTGAGGAGACTGACGAGTTTGTGGTCTTGGCGGGAGAAGTAAGCTTACAGGAGGGCCAAAGCCAGAGGCTCAGGGAGTCCTCACCACCATCCAGAAGAGTGTGGAATGGAGAGCATCCTTTGAGCCCTGGATCCCTGCGCTGAGAACCCCTTAGGCCCAGGAGACAGACAGAGCTGTAACACTGGAGACAGCACAAGACAGAGGCAGCAGCAGGAGTGGCGAGAACCAGGACACGGAACCGAGATGGCTGTGGTGGGTGTTCTGGTTCCCTAGTGCCCTCTGACAAGAATATACCACAAATGGGATGGCTGAACAGACAGGAGTTTCTTCTCTTACACTTCAGGAGACTACAAGTCCGATTTCAAAGAGCCAGGCTCTAGAGGCTGTGTGAAAGCCGCTTGACCTTGGGCTTCAGCTCTGCCTCTTGCTCCCGGCCTACTGAAGCTAGAGGCATCTCTTCACTCACGCACCTAGTGGCTGCTGAGGCTAACAAGCCTAAGGTCAACAAATAAAACAGCACAACAAATAAAACAGTCCCAATGTTACCAAACCACATGGCAGGCCATTAATTCAAGTCCATTGTAAGTCCCAAGGCTGGCAGAGCATGGCAGCCTGCTGAACAATGACACAGCTACATGCAGGGTCCAAGCATCCCCATAAGCTAGAGACTATCCCCAAGCCTTCTCCTTATATGCAAGAAGCAGACCACATCCCAAAGGCAGCCACTCAGCTGCTTGTGGTAGATCCCACCATGGAGCTGATTGCCAGTCTCATCATGGGGAATAACTACCATCAGCTGCCCAGCCACTCAACCAGGCCCAGCAAAATTCACATACAAATTTAACTACCACAATGTCCTACGTTAAACTCATAAGAAAAGTAACGTCTTTAACAATAGCCTAAAACATCCAACTTCTGTTAAGAGAGGAGTCATTCTAAATGGACCACAAAGACGCCTCAACAATCTTGAAAAAAAGGAAAACCAATTCCTAGAAGTCAGTCAAGAGAAATCAAAATCAGGCAGAAGTGAAGTAAGTCTCTATCCAGAAGGAGGAAATAGCACTGGGTGAGTTTTCTAGCTTTATGGCATTTTGGAGAACCACTGGGGGTAGCTATGAGTCGGAATCAACTTGACGGCAGTGAGTGTGGTTTTTCTTGGTTTATAGGCCCAAGAATAGTCTTACTCTCTTGAAGAAGTAGAAGTCATATTCTAGGCCAACCATAGCTGCTGGAAGGCAAGGGGGAGGGAGAATACCAGACAGGAAGAGCCAGAACAGGGGCCCTAAGCTCTGTACCTAAACTCCCCCCAAATCACTTGCTGACCTCTCAACACCATACGCACTCAGATCCCAAGGAGCTCAATTAAGCAGAAAATAAATGAATGGAAATTTTAACCGTAGGAGAGTTTGGAATTTGTGGTGAGTCAAGTTAACTTCTTGTTAAAAGAAAAAACAATATTGTGGTATAGTGGTTAAGGCCATTTGGCTGCTAACCAGAGGGTCAACAGTTCAAACCCACCAGCTGCTCTATGGAAGGAAGACGAGACAATTTACTTCCGTAAAGATTTATAGCCTTGGAAACCCAATGGGGGTCACTATGATTCAGAATTGACTCAATGCAAAGTGGGTTTAACAGGAACAAAATAGAATACACAATCTCTGCAATATATGATTCAAATTGTCCAGGATATAAAAGAAAATTACCAGACACCACCTACCATTACTGAACATTCGATCAAAGACTATATAAAAGAATTCTGATCAAAAGGGGGGAAATAAGAACAGATTTCAAATTTTCATGGACTCCAGACTCTCTGGAGCCATTGAGGCTGGGTGAACCTCCGATACTAGTGCCTCAGAAAATCTTTAAACCTTCAACTAAAAACATCCCCAGAAGTCTTTGAGCTCAACAACAGTTTAGCATTTTGCTCTTTTAAGAACTACCTATATGGGCTCAAACTGACAAAAGCAACTCAGAAGATTAGACAGAAAACTTAGTGGGCAGTTGTGTTTCTGTTCCCAGGGGAGGAACTTGGAAAAGGGGGTGAGAATGGTTGCCTTGAGCAATGCCATTCACATCACAGAAATGTACACGTAGAGACTGTGTATGCAGAAATGTTTTTGGTTGGGGAAGCTGAAAATCTGAGACACATTTAACTTCCACCTCATGGGAAAAGCTCTGTGCTGGTTCCTATTAAAGAAACCATAAGACATCTTTTGAGCATATATTCTCAAAGCATGTTGCTAAGCATGTATTTTCCACAACAATAAAAAA